TAGAACAAAATTGTTTAAGATTTTCCATAGATGAGGAGACATTTTATGGGAGTTTTTCTGAGCTTTGTAATGTTCCCCTACTTTTTTTGAAGATGCCTGAAGAGCCGAAGCTGACTTTGGATGAGACATGTGATCTTGATGTTGAAAATGAAGTCCTAACTTTGCAAGAAACTCTGGAAGCACTTAACCTTGCTGAATATGTTAGCACTTTTGAAAAGGAAAAGATTGATATGGAATCTCTGGTATGGATGATAGTTTGATTCATTTTTGTTTAAAACTGGTTTCCCTGTGCATAAGATTGAAAATTAATGATTTAAACACTTTGATATCAAAATACATTCCAGATAAGGCAAAGACTGAAATGTTTAAAAGATTGAAAAACACAGAAGAATTTTTATTGTCTATAATCTGGAAAGGCTTTTCTAAGTATGAACCCAGAAGCCATAAAAGAAAAAATTGTGTAGCAGTAGAAACCATAAACAACATCTGAAGGCCGGTGATAGATTAGGAAAAATATCTGGTACACACATTATAGACAGAGGGTTTATTTCTTTTATATTCAAAGCCTCTGCAATCAGTTACAGAAAGACCATCAATGTGATAGGTAAATAGGCAAAGAATATAAACTTGGTTTATAGAAAAGGAAATAACAAATGTGTTCTTACCATGTGAAAACTCAGAAATGGAAATTGAAAGTTCAATGAGATATTCTTTTTAACTTATCAGTTGAAAAAAATAGAAAGTTTGATAATATATCGTGAGGCCAGGATGAAAGGAAGTAGGCACTGTTGTATATTGTTGGTCAGAGTGTAAATTGGTACAGCCTCCATGGAGGGCAGTTTGGCAATATCTTTTAAAATATAAAAATGCCCCAGCAGTTCACTGTCAGGAATGTTTTCTATAGAGAAATAGTCACATAAGAATATCCATAAGGATACTCATTGCCGCACTGTTTGTAATACAGCAAAACCTTAGAAACTTCTTCAGTGTTCAGTGGTAGGACACTAGTTAAATCATTTATGGTGCATCCACATGATGGAGTACCCTGCAGCTGTTGAATGAATGAGGCAATGTCAGAGATACTGATCGCTAAGATAGGTTACGTGAAAAGAACAGTGTACAGCGCTGTGTACATAGTAGGCTGTAGGCTGTACACACAGATGCTGTGTATGTATAAGATATCTCTGCAAAGAGCAAATTACCAGCAGTTGCTGCTGAGAGGAAAATTGGATGGTTGGGACAAGAGTGGAGGGAAGAGACTTCATTGTATGCTTGACTGTAGCTTTAGAATTTTGTACAAAATGCATGTGTTTTCTGTTAAAAATGAATAGAATGACTTAGGTATGGAGGCCAAAGATTTTAATGCCTAAACTAATACATGATTTAAGAACAAAAAAACTAACTTTTAAAAAATTGGCTCTTAGATTACTTTAGATGATAGTTTCTTTTTATAATTTTCCTATTCCAATTTCTGTTCCTCTACCGCTATAATTATTAATTAGTCTGTTTGTTTCCTTTTAAAGCTTATGTGTACAGTTGATGACCTGAAGGAAATGGGGATACCCCTTGGACCCCGAAAGAAGATAGCTAACTTTGTAGAAC